CTGTGGTCAGCTTGGAGCACTTGACACATAGGTGAACGCACGCTCGTGGCTCTCACACGCACGTCACACAGAGAGTACTCTAATTACCCAGTGCAGGCACAGCCAGGAGAGGTGTCTAGTGTCCGAATTTATTGTTAATATCCGCTCCTTTTTACTCTCCCCCATCTCCACATACACAAACACTGATCACTGTCTCGGATCACGCGCGCAGCACGTCAGCTCCGGACTCGAGAAGGGGACTCGACGATGAGGGCGATAATCAGCACCTCCGTGTCCGTGGCGTCGGCGTGGCCGGGCTTGAAGAACCTCTTGCCCTTGGAGGCGATGGGGGACAGGAGTTTCTCTCCTGCGCAGGCGCGCGAGCGAGCGTCAGCGCGCCGAGGTCCACTGCGTGTGACTGCACCCAACGTGGCCGCGCGCACCGGATCGGCCAGAAAGCTCATCGCCGACCGTCGCCTTGAGGGAAGCTGCGGGAGCTGACGGACCTCCTTTTGCGCGCCCTCTCTCGCTGCGACAGCCCCGCCGACATCGCTCGCGTCGCGGCCGTCTCGCTGCTCTTCCACGCCTCGCTCGCGGTAGAGGGCATCCGCTTGTGGGCGCAAGAGCGCAGCTTCGAGCTACCGGCGCAGCCAGAGGGCGAGAGCTGCACCGTGCGGTGGCTGTGCTTCGCCGCGCTGCTGCGCGAGTCCAACCCGCCGGCGAGGCTGGCGGCGGGCGCTTGGCACAGCATCTTCATCGACGGCGAGGGGCGGCTCTCGTCGTGCGGCTCACCGCCGACCTGGCTCCCCTCTCCAGGACTGCTCGGACACGGCCAGGGCGTGACGCGGCTCAACACGCCAGCCCGCCTCCCTTCTCCACTGGGCGGCGAGCGCGCCGTGAGCGTGAGGGTTGGGTTCGGGCACAGCCTGGCCCTCACCGCCGGCGGCGCCGTCTGGACCTGGGGCGATGGAGAAGACGGCCGGTTGGGCCACAGCGACGAGCAGGACCAGTGGCAGCCGACGAAGGTCGAGGCCTTGGCTGGCCAGCGGGTCGTCGCTGTGTCGACTGGACCCTTCCACAGCCTCGCCATCACCGCCGACGGCGCCGTCATGAGCTGGGGCTTGGGAGCCGATGGCCGGCTGGGCCACGGCGACGAGCAGCGCCAGCTGCTGCCGAAGAAGGTCGAGGCCTTGGCTGGCCGGCGCGTCGTCGCTGTGTCGGCTGGACTTCACCACAGCCTCGCCATCACCGCCGACGGCGCCGTCATGAGCTGGGGCGATGGAGACCACGGCCAGTTGGGACACGGTGAGCACGAGCAGCTGCTGCCGAAGAAGGTCGAGGCGTTGGCTGGCCGGCGCGTCATCGCTGTCTCTACTGGATGGACGACCAGCCTCGCCCTCACCGCCGACGGCGCCGTCTGGAGCTGGGGCGATGGAGACCACGGCCAGTTGGGACACGGTGAGCACGAGCAGCTGCTGCCGAAGAAGGTCGAGGCGTTGGCTGGCCGGCGCGTCATCGCTGTCTCTACTGGATGGACGACCAGCCTCGCCCTCACCGCCGACGGCGCCGTCTGGAGCTGGGGCGATGGAGACCACGGCCAGTTGGGACACGGTGAGCACGAGCAGCTGCTGCCCAAGAAGATCGAGGCCTTGGCTGGCCGGCGCGTCGTCGCTGTGTCGGCTGGCGGCACCACGCCGCTGTACATCGCGTGCCGGGACGGCCACCTCGAGATCGCCCGGCTGCTTATCGAGGCTGGTGCGGCAGTCAATCAAGTCATGGAAGGCTTCACGCCCCTACACATTGCGTGCCTGGAGGGCCACCTTGCCGTCGTGCTCTGCCTGCTGCGGGCGGGCGCTGACACAGCGGCGCGCATCCCGGGCGGGCGTACGGCGCTGCAGTGGGCCAAGGAGGACGGCCACACCGAGTATGTCGAGATCTTCTCCGAGGAAGCGAAGCGGCGCGAGGCGGCGGCAGCGGCGGCGGCGGCGGATGTCGGTGGCCAAGACAGCGGGACGGCGCTCCTCGGCGAGCGCGTCGTGCTCGGCGGCTTCTCTTCCCGCCCCGAGCTGAACGGGCGGCGGGGCGTGGCGCGGACCGGAGCTTTGAGGGCGGGCGGTGCGCGGTGGCGCTCGAGGGCGGTGGCGAGAGCGTGCGGGTGCGGCCGGGTAATCTGTCGCTGGCTGCGGCGGCCGAGAAGGCGTTGGGCGGAGGCGTCGCAGTCTCCGACGAGGTCGTGGCAGCGGCTGAGCGAGGCGAGGAGGCGGCGGTGCTGGCGTGGCTCGAGGGCGGCGGGCGGGTCGACGCGACGTACGAGAGAGGCGGGGTGAGCGGCCTCACGCTGCTGATGGACGCCGCCCGCTACGGCCACGAGCGGGTGGTCGACCTGCTGCTGCGGCACGGCGCGGAGATCGACCTACAGGACGCCGACGGATGGCGGCGCTGATGCTCGCCGCCCGCAACGGCCACGAGCGGCTGGTTGACCTGCTGATTCGGCACGGCGCGGAGAGAAACCAGCAGGATGACACCGCGCTGGTGGACGCCGCTTGCTACGGCCACGAGCGGTGGTTGACTTGCTGTTCTGCAGGGAATGGCCGCACCGCGCTGATCCTATCCGCCGGCAACGGCCACGAGCGGGTGGTCGAGTTGCTGCTGAAGCACGGCGCGGAGGCCAACGTGCAGGACAGCTTCGGCGAGACCGCGCTGATGGTTGCCGGCGGCGACGGCCACGAGCGGGTGGCCGAACTGCTGATTCGGCGCGGCGCGGAGATCGACCTGCAGGACAGCGACGGCCGCACCGCGCTGATGGACGCCGCCATGGAAGGCCACGAGCATGTGGTCGGGTTGCTGCTGCGGCACGGCGCTGAGGTCAACGTGCAGGACAGCAACGGTTCCACCGCGCTGATGTACGCCGCCCTCTTCAACCGCCCTGCCGTTGTGCTCCGCTTGCTGCGGGCGGGCGCTGACACGGCGGCGTGCAGTGCGGGCGGCAAGACGGCGCTGCAGATGGCCAAGGAGAAGGGCCACGCCGAGTGCGTGTGCGCCCTCGAGGCGGCGGCGGAGGCGACGCGGCGTACCGCGGCGGCGACGGAGGCGGCCAAGCGGGCAGCGGACGAGGAGCGGCGGGCGGCGGTCGCTGCCGCCGTCGAGGAGAAGCGGCGCGCCGTCGCTGCCGAGACCGCGGCGAAGCTTGCCGCCGACCGCGCTGCGGCGGAGGCGGCGCAGCGAGCGAGGCGAGCGGAGCGCTCGCCTCGTCGGCCGAGGCTGCAGAGCGAGAGGCGCAGAGGCAAGCGCACGCGGCTCGCAAGGCAGATGAGGCGGCTGCGGCGCGGCAGAGGGAGGAGGCTGCGGAGAGGCGGGCGAGAGAGGAGGAGGCGAAGCGGCGCGCACGGCTGGAGGAGCAGAAGGCGGCCAAGAAGGTGGCCAAGGAGAAGAAGAAGGCGCAGCGCAACGCGCCATCCGCCTTTGCGCTGGAGAAGGAACGCGAGGAGCGCGCCGCGGCCGAACGACGCAAGCTGCAGGAGAAGGCCGAGGAGCTCGCAGCTGAGCTCGCGGCCGACGAGGCGCAAAATGCAGCCGAGGAGGAGGCGAGGCGCGAGCAGCTGGCAACGGTGCAGGCGGCGCAAGAGGAGAGCGCGAGGCTGGACGACGAGGCGAGGGCAGGCGCGACCGAGGCAGCCGAGGCGACTGCGGCTGCTTCGCCCCAAGGAGGCGGCCGAGGCGGCCGAGGCGGCCGAGGCGGCCGAGGCGGCCGTGGCGGGAAGGGAAGGGGGGCGGCAGCGGCATCGGCGGAGCCGGCGGTGGCGGAGCAAGGGTCGTCCTCGCTGGCTGCAGAAGCGGCTTGCAAGGCGAGGGAGGCTATGGCCGAGGCGGCTCGTCAGCAGGCTGAGGCCGAGGCGGCGGCTATGGCGGCAGATGAGGCGGAGGAGGTCGCAGCAGCTGAGGAGGCGGCGGTGCTTGCGACGGCGGCGGCGGCCATCGCTGCCGCCAAAGCGAGACGTGCGGCTGCAGCTGCTGCGAAGGCCACGGCGCTGGCAGAGGCCAACACCAAGGCGCGGGCAGCGACCAAGGCGGCAGAGGTGCACTCCCAGAGGGTGAGCAAATGAACCAGGGGGGGGGGGGGGGCAGCGGCGGGGTAGTCTGGTTGCGTACGAAGGCAGCGGCGGGGTAGTCTGGTTGCGGGGTACGCAATGTGCGGCCGGACTGCCTTCGTTGTTCGTAGACTAGAGACTAGAGTAGCCTCTCGGGGTTTTGAGCTGATGCTGGTGTGACTGCAGTGTGCATGCGCCATACGCGGGGTTCGCGTCCGGCATCATTTGGTAATCCGATTTCAAGGTCACACGCGTCACGCCACACGGCGCGCGCGCGGCGATTTAACATACAATAATACAAACACAGAGCCTTCCCGCTTCCGTACCGTCTACCGACATAGATGCACACGAGACTCGAGAGACCCTCTGCCCCCGCACGTCACGCACGGATGGTACATGCTCCTAGCCACATTACAAAATATTCGTACGCCAGCGCTGGTCCCGCGGCGCCGGCATGCCTCTCACGTCAGAGCTCGCTCACCGCTGGCAAGCTCCTTGTCCTCCGATGCTCCGCATGCCTCCCCCCCCCCCCCCTCCTCTCCTCGGAATGTACACCGCGGCGGCGCGCTCCTCACAAGAGGCGCCCGCCCGCGGCTCCGCCTGCGCACTCGCCTGCGCACTCGCCTGCGCACTCGCCGATTCCTATCTGTCAAAATATCGAGAATCCAGATCCCGTGGCGACATTATACCACGGGCCTTGTTAGTTAGGTCCGGGTT